CTGTTAATACCAGCACCTAAAAATGCTTGGCAGGTAGTAAGTAGCCAGCATCTGATGAGTCAACAAATAAGTGAAGAAAACCCTGGAATCAGTTAGGATATTGTTGGTTCTAAGTAACAGAAAGCTCAATTCAACAATATAGTTGGCTTAAATGGTAGAGATATATTGAATTCTGTAATGAGAAAGTCTGAAAGTAACTTACTCCAAGTGAAGCTTGATCTAGCACTTCAACATCACCATAGACCCGATGCCTTTCCATCTCTCTACTAGTCCTTCCAAGAAAATGGCTAAAATCACATCGCTAAGAAGTGGGCTGGTGGATGCAGTGGCTCACACCTGTAATCTCAGCACTTTGGGAGACCAAGGTAGGTGAATCACTTGAGCCCAGGAGATCGAGAGCACCTGGAAAACATGATGAAACCCCATCACTACAAAAAATACAAAAATTAGCCAGGTGTGGTACTGCATGCCTGTGGTCCCAGCTACTCAGGAGACTGAGGAAGGATGATCACCTGAGCCCGAGAGGTCAAGGCTGCAGTGACTCCAGCCAGGATGACAGAGCCAGGCCCTGTCTCAAAAAAAAAAAAAAAAAGGGAGAAGAATGGAAGTGGGTTAGTAATGTGTTCATTCATCAGAGTGCCACTTGGACAACTGTGAAAACTGTAATGCTGATAAACAAGATGCTGGTAACAGTAGCTACCACACACGCAGGGCTTTGTGCCAGGTACCTTGCTAGTACTTAACTTCTGTGTGCCTTCATGTCCTCATTTGTAAATGGGAACGGTAATAGCATCACATAGGGTTACTGAGGATTAAATGAACTAATACATAAAATGGTAAGATCTCAAAAAACACTAGCTTGTTTCAGTTAGCTATTGCTGTGTAACAAAGTATCCTAAGCCACAGGGGCATAAAACAGCAACCATTTCTTTGCTCATGATTCTGCAATTTGGACAAGGCTCAAAGGGTGAGGGGATTTGGGATGGTTCATCTCTACTCCACGTGATGTCAGCTCAAATGGGGGTTAGGATATCCCAAGATGACATCACTTGCATGCCTGGCACATCAGCTAAAAGCTGGAGCAGCCAGGAGCTGGGGTGGGTCTACAGAAAGGGCAGGGCTCCAAGAGTGGAAGCAGAATCTGCCAGACCTCCATTTAGCACAGCATTACTTTCACTGTATTCTTCTTTTTTTGAGACAGAGTCTTGCTCTGTTGCCCAGGCTGGAGTGCAGCGGTGTGATCTTGGTTCACTACAAGCTCCGCCTCATGGGTTCAAGTGATTCTCCTGCCTCAGCCTCCTGAGTAGCTGGGACTACAGGCATGTACCACCACACCTGGCTAATTTGTTGTTGTTGTTGTTGTTATTTTTAGTAGAGATAGGGTTTCTTCATGTTGGCCAGGCTGGTCTGGAACTCCTGACCTCAACCCACCTCAGCCTCCCAAAGTGCTGGGATTATAGGCGTGAGCCACCGAGCCCTCCTGCTTTCACTGTATTCTGTTGGTTAAAACAAACCTCAGGGCCAGCTCAGATATAAGGGGAAGGAAGGAGACTCCACCTCTTGATAGGAAAAACAGCAAAAACCGTGTGGCTGTCTTTCATCGCAGGATTTTAATCTCACACTAACAGCCTCGACACTGGTCTCCCTGCTTCAATCCTTAATTCCTTTTAGTCAATTCTCCACGGAGCAGCCAGAGGAATCTTAAAATACACTTTAGTCTGAAGAATTTTCGAGGGAAATACACACACACACACACACCCTGACCATGCTCCCATCCCCAGCTTAAAATTTTACAATTTCCCACTACGTAAGGGGTAAACACCCAAACTCCTTATGGCATCCACAAGATCTAACCTCTTGCTCTGCATCAGCCTCAGGTCTCCAACCGACACAAACTCTTATCTCTTAAAGAAGCTAATGCCTACTCCTTCATCACCACAAACCCGTTTCCTAGGGTCCGGATCTGATTTCCCATCAAGTGTTCTTATAGCACTCTCTACCTTCTTCGTAATTTCACACGTGATTATTTGATGGTCTGAACTACCATCCCCGTTACTGTAGGTTCTATGGGGGTAGGGAAAGCATTTTGTTCTCGGCTGTGTTCCCTATGCTGAGTAGAAAAAAGAGGTGAGGTGAAATACTTGCTGAATGTCTTGAGCCCCCAGAAAACTTTAAGGCAGCCCCTTTGAGTTCTGTAGAAAGGGGATCAGTAGTCTCCAGCATGCTGGGATCCAGATGTGTGCTGTTCAATAGTTTATTTGATAAGTAGTTACTGAGTCCTGTGTTCCAAGAACTTTTCTCTGTGTTGGAGATAACAGAGGAAGTAGACAAAAGCCACTGCCCTCACAAAGTCAACAGTCTCCTAGAGGTAGGGGTCAGGGGAGACAGACAATAAACATAAACACAGACAAATTCTAGAGTGTTAAACAGTAATATGATTAATGCTAAGGATAAAGTGAAAGAGCAAAGATAGATGTGACTATTAGTGGTACCATTTTAGAAGGGTGGTGAGGGAAGACCTCAGGAAGGCAGCGGCATCTCAGGGGATACCTAAAGAGGAAGGAGCGAGTCTGGGCTATTTGGTAGATGAGTTCCTCAGGTAAAGAGAAGACTAAGCGCAAAGGCCCTGGGGCCAGTGCACTTGGAGCAGAGGGAGTAAGGAGAGATGATGTCAGAGGCGTGATGAGGGCAGACAATGCAGAGCCTTGCAGAGGACTCTGGTTTTTACCCTGAGTGAGAGGAACCTCAGAAGGGTTCCGAGCAGGTGAGGAATATGACCTGATACAGGTGCTCACAGCATCCCTCTACCTGCACGTGAGAAACACTCTGGGGGCAGGTAAGAGCAGGGAGGTCACTGAGGAGGCTGCCATCATGGTCTGGGAAGGAGATAAGGGAGGACAGGGTGAAGGTGGGGAGAAGTGGTCAGGTTCTGGGTATTTGCTGACAGACATGGATCAAAGAGAGAGAGAGGAGTCCAGGACAACTGCAGTGGTTTGGGCCTGGAGAGGGTGGAGGGAACATATTGAGATGAACATGGGGGGAATAAATTCTGGGGAAAGGAGCAGGAGCTCAATTCTACCAAAATTATTCTGAAGATACCACTAGATTATCAACAGGTGTCAAGTAGGCCGTCGGTCAGGAGCTCAGAGGAGAGATTCTGGATGGATATAGAAATGTGACATATGCATTTCTATGCCTCCCTACAAATTCCTCACAAGACTTACCTGATCTGGCCCTGCTAATGTCTCCTTAGTAAGTCAATGGTATACACACATACACACACACACACACACACACACACACACACACACCTGAGCCCTCCTCTTCCTAGATATTGGTAATGGTCAAGTTTCCTAATCTTTTCCATCCTAGGTATCATTTACGAATGGGAGAGTACATCAGCACCTGACTCCTAGGATTGTTCATTCAAGACATCAGTTACTGAGCATCTGCTCTAAGCGCTCGAGATACCTCGAGATATCTTTTCCCATCCCTCTGTCTCCCCCTCCCAAACAGCCTGTCACCCTTCTCGTCATCTCTCCTATCTCCTCTTGCCCTCCCTACGGTGGCCTCTGCCCTGATCCGTTTCCAACATCTCTTGCCTAGGAATCTGCCAAAGCTGCCACCCTGGGTTCCCGAACCTGTCATTTTCCCGTTAATCTATTCTCATGTCACAACGAACCGGGCCGTGGTCCTTCCCAACTAAAAATCCTCCTATGGCTCTTCATTGCCCTCAGGACAAAATCCAAGCTCCCTAAAAGGTCAAGAAACTTCCACATCTCATATGAATTTTCAGCATGCACATCAACACCAGATCACCTGCAGCCCGTGTTCACACAACAGTCTGTTTCTCACTGCCTTTGCACAAACCATTCCACCACACCGCCCCCGACGCCCAAAACATCCGTCTTCAGTCTCAGCTCAGACAGCTCCTAGTCTTCGGGGATGATCCTCCTACCAGTGCCTCCTCGGGTTCCCACCGTGTTCTACGGCGCCTCCATTAGTGAACATACAGAGGTCCGCAACGGGATCCTTGCCTGTCTCTTCCACTGAGTGGGGCCTCCCGCAAGCCGGACCAGACACAGCGGCCAGTGATGTCCGCGTGCTAGGGCCAATTCAGGCCTCGGCGTCTACCGCCTGCTCCGGAACCATGAGAGACAACCTGCACGCTCTCCTGGTACGGTGCTGCGCCCACCTTACACACGCCTCAAGACCTCCGCCTCCTAAACACCATAACATCCGGGCCCCGGCTACCTCAGACCGCCCATTGGCCACCTGTAAACCCGCCCCAAGTGTGTGAGTGAAAAGAACTCTGGTTGTTGCAGTCCCCACGACAAAAAACCCAGAAAGCGATGGCTACGTAGAACTCCATTTCCCATGAAGCACCGTGCCCAAGTGGTGAGAGACGGTACCCTTTGAACTGGACAGTTCTTGATTGGCCAGTTGGGAGGTGTACATCTCCAAATTACCACGGAAACAGGACCACTTACCTGAAACCCCGGGAAAATCTTTTTGCTTCCGATCTCAAAACGCTTTGTTTCGCCGTGACTCCAAACGGTTGGACCATAGGCATATGGGGGCAGAACCTGTACCTATTGTCTGCCTATTCCCCAGATAGCGCCAGCAAAGCCCGCTAAGTGCACTGAGAGGCTACTGGACGCCTGCTTGGCATGAAAAGCCACTTCTGTGCTGAGTCTGCAGAAGCTCCGGCTTATTAGGGCACCTGTTTCCCAGAGACAGGCCAGAGCTGAACCGTTACCCTTTCAGCGTCTGTTTGCCCCGGAAAAGACAAATGTAGGCCAGGATCCTAACCACAATCTAAGATGCTGGTGCCCCAGACCTGCAGCCCCATGCCTGCCCCAAGAGCCACAGCTTCCCCACAAAGAGATGTCTTCACACCACAGAGCTCCTCCAGCACCCCCTCCCCAAATCCCCTTCCCCACCATGGCTCTGAGGATCGGGTGAGGGAAGCCGAGGCCCTGCAAACGCTCAGGCAGGCATGTGAGAAAGCTCTTTACTGGGAGTACAGCGAGGAGGAGCAAGGCCATCTCCCCCTACCTGCCCCCACCCCCTCCTAGGGTCCTGGGGTAAGGGGGGGGTCTTCCCTCCACCGGACCACCACTGTCTTTGGTACAATAAATAGAAAAAAAGGGGGAGAGGGGGCCAAGGGTCCAGTCCATAGTGGGGAGGGAGTGACCAAACCCCTCTCCTTGACCCCCTGCCCCAGGCCCCAATCAGTGCAGGCCTCACCCACCCCAGCTGGGTAGCAGCAATTCCAGTCAAGGAGAGAGATGAGGATGGGAGCCCAGGGCCCCCAGATGGGGGGGGGTATGGCTTCAGGAGGGGCCCCAGGGAGGGGGCAGGGTCATGAGCTGGCTGCCGTGCTCTGGGGTACACCACGGAGGCCCAGGTGAGGCCCTAGAGTGGCAGGGTCATCAGGAGGCGGGAGGGGTGGACGACCTCCCGTCATCCGAGTCCGGAGGGCTGAGGCAGCCGGGTGCTGGGGGGCAGGCGCTGGGTGAGGTGGGGAGCAGTCAGCAGGGCCGCCCACCAGGCTCACATCCATCAGCTCCGGGGGTGGTGGTGAGGTTGGTGATGGGGGACGGCCAAGGTATCGGGGCTGGGGGGGTAACTGGGCCCCAGTCCCAGGCAGTGACGAGGCAGAGGCAGAGGCTTGATGCGTCTTGTGTAGCACATCACCCCCTGCCCAGGGCCGCAGCGGCTGGGATGGTGGGACCTAAAAAAGCAAAGGAGCCATGGGTGATGGAGACCCGGGTCCTTAAGCCCCAGGTACCCCATCGCCCACCTTCAAAGCCCCAGTACCTGGGGACTGTTCATCTCACAGTCAGTGATAGGGGGCCCAGGGCCCCCACAATATCGGTTGCTGTAGCGGTAGGTCCGGTTGTCACTGGAGGAGCCACTGGAGCCTCCTGGAAGTGCCAGGGAGGAGAGGGGAAGGGGCATAATGTGAGGGAAGGTAGTGAGTGGGTTTTGGGATGACTGAGTACAGCTCAGGGCCCACGCTCAGGTTTAGGCTTCGAGATCAGAGCCCACTTGAAGAACCAGGACCGATTTTGAGATTTGGGGCTGGAATTCAGTTTGGGGTTTTAGAGTCAAAACCAGTTTCAAGGTTGAGCCCGAGCCCAAGCCCAATTTCAGATTATGTCAGGACCAGTCACAGCTCTCCCACCCTACATGTCATCTTAGAGTTTAGGATCAGGCAGCTTCAGAGCTTGTGTGAATGCCCAGTAACAAGGTCACCCAGGACAGGCCAAACCTGAGCAGCCCCTACCCCTGTTGTACCCCATTTGGGCACCTGGGCACCCACCAGAACTGGAGATGGAGCTGGCGGTGCTGGAAGAGGGGCAGGTGTCGAGGGGTGCGGGCGAGGTGGAGGCACTGCTGCCTGCCGGGCCCGTGTTGGTGGCCTCGTCGGCCGTGCGGCGGAAGAAGCCGTGCTGCAGAGCCCCGAGTGGGCTGATGCGGGCGGCAGGCTCATACTCCAGCATGCGCAGCACCAGGTCCTGGAAGCGGAGGTAGTCGGCGGGGCTGTGGCCCGGCTCCCCCGCCCGCCGGCCCCCGGGCCCGCCCGTCTGCACGCCCAGCACCTCCTGCAGCCGCCGTGTCCCGGGGCCCTGGTAATCCTGGCAGGGAGGGGGTGGGAGGGGGGGCAAGAGAGTGGCCGTCAGTGGGCAGGAGGGGCAGGAAGACACACACGGGGAAACAGAGGCACAAGAGAGAAAGTGGAAAGAGAGAAGCTAAGAAGAGCTGTGGGGTGGGAAGGAGAGGGGGAGATGGGGTGGGCAGGGGAGGAAGGAAAGGACAGACAAAGGGGAGAGGAAGGAAGGGAAAGACACAAGGGAGAGGGAGCAGGGGAGAGAGCCCCAAGTGTGAGTGAGGGGCCAGCGGGGTGGGAGGAAGTGGCATGGGGCAGGGGCCGCACCTTCCTGAGTTCTTTTGTCCTTCGTAGGGTCCAGCCACCCCCAGGCAGCCGTTCAAAGTACTTGCGAGCCTTGGGCGCCTGGTCCAGCATGGCGGCCGGCGGGATGCCCAGCACTTCCACAATGCGGTTCATCTGGTCCACCTGTGAACAGGCAAGGGTCAGAGTCATCAGGCAGGCCAGGCTCCACCCCCTCCACCTCCAGCACACCCCTTCCTGGGTGCACACCTCATTGGAGCCACTGAAGAGGGGCTCTCCGGTGTGCATTTCCACAAGGATGCAGCCCAGGGACCACATGTCAATGGCCAGGTCGTAGGGTGTGCCCAGGAGCACCTCAGGCGAGCGGTAGAAGCGGCTCTGGATATACTGGTAGATCTGGGGAAAGGGCAATCGTCAAGGGTCCCAGCCTCCCTTACTGGTCCCACTGACATCCCCAAAGCTGAGGACCCAACAGAGGATAGGCCTCTTGCTGCCAAACTGGGGACTGAGGCTCCAAATCCTGCCATTGTGAGCACCAATTTTCTGGGAGCCAATCTTCTTTACCAGCCTGGGGAGTCTGCTGGCCTAGACAGACCTTGATCTCCACCCCCAACCCTGACCCTGGGCCCTTCTGGATCACCAGGCAAAGGCTGACATTCCATAAGCCCTTTCATCAGCAGCTCACATGGAGCTGCAAAGTTGAAGCCTTCCACCTCCATCCCCAGCTTTAAGAACACAGGATACAAAAACTTATCCAAGCAGCCCCCCTGGCTCTAACCCAACCCAACTTCACCCTGCTCACATCTGGCAGCTTCAAAATGGGCCCTGTCCCCTCAGGCTTCACTCTTCCCATCGTAGCTGGCAGTATACCCCCACCCCCACCCCAAGCACTATCCTACTTCCAGCAGCTCCTAATAATCCCATCCCAGCCTAGCCCCGCCCCTAAGCCTCCCCACTGGCCCTGCCCCACCCAAATCACAAGCCCTGCCCCCAGGACAGGGCCAACCCATACCCTCTGGCCAAGCTGGCAGGAGCTGCCAAAGTCCACGATCTTGATGGCACTGCGCTTGGGGTTGCAGAGCAAGATGTTTTCAGGCTTGAGGTCGCAATGAATGATGCTGAGCTCAGGTGTGGCCAGAAAGAGCAGGGCCGTACAGAGCTGCTGCGCCAGCTTCCGAGTTAGGTTCAGCGAGACGCCACGGAAGTGGGTGTTGCGCAGGAGGTCGTACAGGTTGTAGGACAGCAGCTCAAACACCAGGCACAGGTGGTTCCGGAACATGAAGTGCCGCTTCAGGTGCACTGTGAGGGAAGGGAGGAAATGGGTCAACAGAGAAGAAACGGCTCAGAGAGGGCAGGTGGTGGCCTGGGGTCACATGATGTTCTTAGAGGACCAGCCACATTGTGCTGTGCCCATGGGTACCATCTGCCAGTCACGATCTCTTTATCTAACAACTAGATTCACAAAGGAAGTTAGTTCTCTTTCCAAGTCTCTATGAAACCTTCCAATTACCAAAGAGAGTTTCGCTACACTTCCTCGTTTCGTTTCCTAACACTGCTCTCATCTCGGTTGTATTCATTTTTGTGGCAAAGGAGATTGGTTTTCCATTTACTTTAAGAATGTATGTTTTCCTTTCAAACAAAACAATTTTAAAATCTACTTGCTGCTTATGATTATGCTATGTGATGTTTATGTCCACGAGGAGGAAATCAGTTTAAGAGAAAAGACTGGCATAGATAGATGTTAAGAGTAACAGCTCTGGAGTCCACGGCCTCATTAAATCATACAGCTCAATGAGTACAAACTGCCACCTCATGCAAGTGATAGCACTTGAATGCCTGGGTTCCTTTTTTTCTTTCTTCACTTTTTTTTTGAGACAGAGTCCCGCACTTTCGCCAGGCCTGGAGTGCAGTGGTGTGATATCAGCTCACTGCAACTTCCACCTCCCAGGTTCAAGCAATTCCCCTGCCTCAGCCTCCCAAGTAGCTGGGACTACAAGGGCACACCACCACGCCCAGCTAATGGTTTTGTATTTTTAGTAGAGACAGGGTTCCACCATGTTGATCAGGATGTTCTTGATCTCTTGACCTCGTGGTCCTCCTACCTTGGCCTCCCAAAGTGTTGGGATTACAGGCATGAGGCACTGCACCTGCCATTTTTTTTTTTTTTTTTTAATTTAAGAACTAGAATGGAAGCCCAGGTTTCTTACCTTCAAGATGTGGGCAATAATGCCTTTCCCCTTATGGGCTGTGGTGAGTTAACTTACATAAAGTGCTTCTAAGAGAGCCTGGCCCTTGGTGAGCACTCAGTAACCTCTGATCATGAGCAAGTAAATAGGACAACAATGATCAAAGCAGCAGGAGAATCACTGATGTCAGTGAAGCACAGACCAAACCCTGCTCTGAAGACACCAGCTTCCTCCTGAGGGTGGGCCAGGAGGGTGACCCATCCCTACCAGCTCCAGCTTCCGCTATCCCAGGTGCCCAGGCCTCACCTATGTAGTACTTCATCTCCGTGTCATGCTGGTTCATCAGCTCCAGCAGCCGCAGCTCAATCTGGGCCTGGTTCAGAAAGGCCTTTTTGTTCTTGATGATCTTGATAGCCACGAGTTCCTGGGTCTGATGGTCATAAGCTTTCACCACCTGTTGGGGAAGGGCGTGTCACAAAGGAAGGGGTGGGGGCAGGACAGAGCCAAGCACCATTCTTCTCCCTCCAGGCAAGGAGACACACTGGTAACACTATGAATACTTCACAGTTGAGTGCGCACCATTAGTCAGGCACTGGTGTAAACACTGGACGTGAAATAACGTAACCACCTTATGTTGCACCTTGTTATTTGAACTATTTTACAGAAAAGGCAGCTGAGGCACAGGTGAGCGGCCCAGCATGGGACGACTTGAAGCCACTGAACCCTTGGGTGTGTGGTCGACGTTAGTGGGGCCCAGGATCAGGGTGGGAGGGGGGTGTCCCACACCTGGCCAAAGGAGCCTTTGCCAATGAGCGAGTCAATCTCGTAGCGCTCCAGCCAGCGCTCGCCACTGCGCACAATGTAGTCATGGTTGTCGTCATCATAACCATGGTTCAGGACCTTCTTCTCCTTCTTGGTGCTGGAATCCTGGGGTGGCGCCTGCTGGGCCCGCCGCTTCTTCTTCGCATAGTATACCTGCCCAGCCAGCCAGCCAGGAGACAGGGACTGGTGAGTGACTCATGCCGGCAGCCAAGACCCTCGGCACCCAGCCCAGGATCCCCCACCTCCTGCCCACCTCATTGATGTGCTTGTAGGTCTTGATGAGGTCCACAGAGAGCTTACGCAGTGGGGCTGAGGTTGCATCCCGGAAGGCCAGGGGCAGCCTCCGAGGCAGTAGCCGCACGTCAGGCAATACCTGCAGGGCAGGGTGAGGGGTGGGCACTGAGGATGGGCCTTCACCCTCAACCTCAAGAGGGAGAACTGTATGGGTAGCTGGCACATCATGTATTTGGTTGCTGTCTGTATTTGTTCTACTCCTCCAGGAAAGAAAGTCCCCCAGGGCTGACACTTTCTCTTGTTTCTCACTGTGCCTCCAGTGCCTGCAGCAGGGCCTGGCACACACTGGATGCTCTCAGAGGTCTGTGGTGTGAATGAGTGAACCCAGACCTTTCACCCCTCACCTTTACTCCTTTCTGAACCTCAGTGGGAGAGATCATATGGAAAACCTGGGCTCTGCTCCTCCCCATTCTTCACTGTGAAGCCAGCCATTCTGGGTATCCTCTGAAGTCCCTCTATCTCAATTCACCCTCATCCCCTGGGCCCCAACCCAGACCTCCACCAACTCTTTACACAGTTCTTTCACCCCAAGACTCTTGGATCTGGCCCCTGGACCTCCCACCACTCCATCCTGCTTCAAGCTCTGCATGTCACTGCCTTCACTGCCTCTAGCCTTAGAGAGCTTTGCCCTGTACCTGTTGGCCCCAAGACCTTTTAGACCCAACCCCCCTCCCCATTCACCCACTCCAGATCTTTCACTCTGAACTTCTCTTCTTAGTGAGCATTTATTGCGTATTTACTATGTGCCAGGCACCGTTCCAGGTGTTCTACACGCACACCATTAACTCACGTAATCCTCACAACAACCCTGTGAGGTAGGTCTCGTTTCACAGAATACAAAACTCAAGTATGGAGAATCTAAATAATTTAACCACTGGGTCAGGATTTGAACCCAGCCTCTCCAAACCCTGACTCTGCCTGCAAGTTCTCTGTTATTTCCCAATCCCATGGGACCCATTATGCACCCAGGAGACTGTCTTGGACAACCACATTACCTGCTGGTCTGGAGACCCTTCTATCCCCAGACTACCCCTACCACCAGGCAGGTGAGGAGCCAGCTGAACGCGTACCTGCGTGTGCTCCTGGGGCCCTGGGAAGCCAGAGAAGGGACCATGGCCCGGTGGGACGGCCATGGTGGGCTCAGAGGGCCACAGGGGAGCGAGGCCTGGAGCGGGAGCCCGGCCGGGGGGCGCCTTCTTGCATCCTGCACCTCGGCTGCCACCGCCGCTGAGACCTGAGAGCAGGCAGGAGGCGGGAAAACAACATGGAACAAGGAGATATGTGGATAATGCCAGGCGGGGAAGAGGTGGGCATGAGAAAGGCAGGGCACAGAGACATGAAGAAAAGGGCATAGTGGAGCAACAGGAAGCAATGTAGAGAAGGGACAGAAGTGACAGCCAGGTGAGGGGCAGCACAGCAGTCTCTCGACAAATAATGATCAATTAAATGAATAAGGCAGCACAAAGAGAACACAGAAGACAATGATTGGGGGCCAGACAGGGGTCAATATGAGCCATCACAGGGAAAGGACGACAGGAAGACACCAAGAATTTGGAGGAGGAAAAGAAAAAAAAGATAGAAACCACAGACAGTATGCAGAGAGGAGTAGGCTTCATTCCTTTCTCATTACTAGTCATGGCCCTCCCCAGGGCCCCTTACGCAAGATCCCACCCTTCTGTAGACTTCGCTGAACATCAGGATCTCAGCCCATAGCACAGCAAGGGCCACTACTTCGCCACTACTTCAAGATCTATCCTTCTCAGTAGATTCCCTCAACCCAGAGAACTCTAGGATTCCCAAACCACATGAGTCTTCCCCTCCCAAACCACAGCAGAGTCCTCTAGAGACCCCTAAGAACACAGGAGCGTCCTTGTGGACCTCCCAACCACACCAAGGTTACCTGAGAACCTCTACAGAACAGAGTCCTATCTCTACGGCATTCTCATCCACAGGGGCACACCTTTCCCAGGGGACCCTCTCCATATCATGCCAAGACCACTTCCCTATAACAGATCCTCCATATCAGGAACCAGCCTTCCAGGCAGTCTCCCGGTACCATATCCCAGTACCCCCTGGCCCAACAGGGTGCTTCCCCATATTACTCCAAGACCCCATCCCAATCAAGGCCCACTCGTCCTGATGGGAGAAGGGGGAAGTGTCTCTTCCCAGTTTAGTGATCATTCTTTTTTCCCCTACACTGCTTTCTTGTCCCCCCCCCCACACACACACACAAACACGTACATGCACACTGCCTAATATTCCTACCAGACACCTTTCTCCAGGCACCCCTCTATACCAGGGTCATTCCATAACTGTATCCACTCCTAGAGGGCCCAAAGCCAAATCCCCTAATATCGCATAGGGTTCTCTCCTCCCAGAGTGTCAGTCACAGCAAAAATCTTCTCCCCATGGGCAATGTCATTCTCTCCCCCATGTCAAATCCTTCTCCTACTCCATGCCTTGCCAACTCCACGACCCCTCCACCCTTGGAGCTTCCCCCTAAAACAACCCATTTTCCGGGGCCCTCCCACACCAGGACCAGTTCTCCCAGCCCCCACCCCCTACCCGGGTCAGGACTGGCGCGGGGCCCACGGGGGGCTGGAGCGCGGTGGGGCCCCCAGTGGGGTGGGCGAGCAGCCAGCATGGCGGCGGTGGCGGTGCTGAGAAGGCGGGCCGCCTGTCCCTGGCCCGGCCGGCCCCGCGGCGGGAGGGCAAGCGGGACAGGCGGCCCGGTGGGTGACAACAGCAGCCGCCGCTGCCACCGGGGGCGGGAGAGGGGACAAGGGTCAGCCCAGGGCATGCGGGGTAAGAGTAGAGCAGGTGGACGGGGGAGGGGCAAGTTAACCCTCACCCTACGGGCCACGCCCGCCCTGAATGGCCACCAGCCCCTAGGGACCCCAGCGTCCCGCCCCCAAACCCAGGAGGCCTCCTGGGCCAGCCGAGACCGGGCGGGCGGGGCCCGACTGAGCTTGGCAATCTACACCTGCCATGGCAACAACTATGCCATTGTCGCTGGTGCCAAGAGCTCAGCCAATCACAGCCTAGGGCAGATGTTGCTAGGCGACGCTGAAGCGGCCCGCGGAGCGAGCCCAAACAAAGGGCGGGAGTGGGGGCCTGACTACCCCCTCCCAGCCTCCCTCCTGAAACGGCTCCCTCGGCTTGGCCCGTTCCAGGAATTCAACTATGAATAGCGAGGCAGTGCCGGCACCTGCCCGCCACCCCCCTCCTTCATCCAACGGCCTCGTGCTAAGTCTCGCGGCGACGCGGGCAGGGCGGGTCCCGTCCTGCCCACCTCCCAGCGAGCGCTTGCCGCCCCACCCATCCCCGCGCCATTACCTGAGGGAGCGGGCAAGGGGACTCAAACTGCTCGGGGAGCCCGAGCTCAGACCTGCTCACTAGCTGAGGGTATCCGGCGGACGGGGCAAGCCAGGGCCCCGATTACCCAGTAATGCAACCAGCAAAATGGCGACCACAACAAACCGGCCCCCCCACGCCCTGGACTCCGCCCCCCATCCCGCCCTCTCCGCTCCCCTCACGTGACCCAGACTGACATTTCGCCAGCGTGTGACAGCCGCTTACCTGCACGCTTGCGCAGTGAGCTACCAATTCCACCCCAAGAACTGAAATCCAGGCTGCGGCTGCGCAAGAGGCAGCTAGAAATGGAGCATGCGCTGTGACTGACCGAGTGAGAATTCACCCCCAACCCCGCAAAACTGACAAGGGGTGCATGCGCTCTGTGTCAACAGGTCAAGGAACAGAATGAGCAGCAGACATGAGACGGATGAGTCTTTTAATAGAAAAACACACGTGCAACAGTATCAACACACATCTCTAGCAATCCAGACAGCGCTGAACTTCAGTTCTTCACCTTGGGGGGTGGCCTGTGAGAGGAAGATAGATGATGAAGAAAGGTCCCCAGGATCACGGCACTCGGGGTGCAAGGGACAGAGATGTCTGTCCTGGTGCACCGCTGGGCCCCTACTCACCTGTACACTCCCACGACCACAGCGTGGTCTCTTTCATATGGCTCGAGGGTCAACTGCTCCTGTGGCTTCATATTCTCCTGTTGCATCTTTTTCACTTCGGAGGCAAACACGGCCTCGGCTGAGGCTGTGGAGTCAATGCAGTTGGCCTGCAGAGGAAAAAGGGCTGTGGAGTCAATGCAGTTGGCCTGCAGAGGAAAAAGGGCTGTGGAGTCAATGCAGTTGGCCTGCAGAGGAAAAAGGGCTGATTGATGTCTATGACAGGGTTTTGCACTCTCTTCCTTTTGTGTGCTCTTTAAACCAGATGTTTTCATTAGCAATTCAAGTAAAATTCGGTGCTATGGTTCGAATGTGTCCCCCAAAGTTCATTTGTTGGAAACGTAACCCTTAAATACAACACAGTTGAGAGATGATTTAGGTCATGAGGGCTCTGCCTTCCTGAATAGACTAATGCTATTATCACAAAAATGGGTTCCTGATTAAAAAGATGATTATGCCCCCTTTCTATCTTGCTCACCCTTCTGCCAATGGATGAAGGCCCTCACCAGATTCAGATCCCCAATCTTGGACTCTGAAGCCTTTGGAACTGGGAGGCAAATAAATTTCCATTCATTATAAATTACCCAGTCTACGGCATTCTGTGATAGCTGCACAAAATGGGTTAAGACCCTTGGGTTTAGGAAATGTGATCAAAGACTGAACTTAAAAAGTTTTTTGACTGGGTACAGTGGCTTGTGTCTGTAATCCTAGCTACTTTGGGAGGATGAGGCGGGCAGCTTGCCTGAGCTCAGGAGCTCCAGACCAGTCTGAGCAATACAGCGAAACCCCATCTCTAGTAAAAATACAAAAATTAGCCAGGTGTGGTGGCACACGCCTGTAGTCCCAGCTACTCAGGAGGCTGGGGCATTAGAATTGCTTGAACCTGGGAGGCGGAGGTTACAGTGAGCCAAGATTGCATCACTTCACTCCAGCCTGGGTGACAGAGCAAGACTCTATCGAATTCAAAATAAAAGTTTTTAATTTGTTTTGGATTTGAAGCAGGAAGCCTTAAACAGTCCTATTTATCTAAAAGCATGTGTTTACAATTTACACCCAGTAAGGTTTGGTTTATTTCTACTTCCTCCTCTTTAATAATAGTAATAATAAAGTTGAGAATAAAAAAACAAATGTAGCAAAAGGCTAACAATAGTGAACCTTGTGAAGGGTACATGGGAGAGTTCTCTGTTATTTCCAAATAATAACGTCGAGAAAGATGCACCTAGCTTTTATCGAGCATCTATTCTATACCAGGATCTTTTCTAAACACTTCATATATATTAACTAATTTGATCCTGTCATCCACCCTGAAAAAGACTGGACTAATAGTTCTATTTCATAAATGAAGAAACTGAGGCATATACATAGGTTAAGTAACTTGCTCAGTCACACAGCAGGCTGGAATTAAACTCAGATGGTTCCAATGCAAGATGAATAAAAAATTAAAAATTAAATAAACTCAGATGGTCAGACTCAGTTTGCACTTAACCACTGCACTCTCCTGCCTCTTTAAATCCAAAGCTATAGTTTTGCAGACTTAGTTTTGCCTGTTTTGGGTGGCCATATGACAGACATAGATAGAGAAGATACCTCCTTAGAGCACTGCCACCCCATCTTAGACTCCTCCAAACCCCGCACCTTAATGGAAATCACAAAGTGTCCTCCATTACGCAGGAAGGTGTGGGCATTCAGGGCCACAATCCGGGTCTGGTCTGGCTGGGCCACATCGGCAAAGATCACATCCACCATTGCTAAGGAGAAAGGGGATGCAGTTAAAAGCTAGAGTCACAGGGATCATCCCAGATCCTCCCATGGGGCCTATGCCCATCACCAGCAGGTTCCTAGGAGATTCTCCCTGCCTCCAGTTTCACTCCCCACCTCCACTGGTCCCCCTCCCTCCACAGTGTCCCAAAATGATCCAAAGCCCACAGTCACATCATTCATTCACTTTTCTTGTAAACCATGGTTGCCACCTACTCTGTGGCCAGCCCTGGGCCGGGCGTGGGGGACATAGAGACGAGTCAGACCCGGACCCTGCCCTCGAGACGCTCCCAGGTCTGGTGGGGAGACAGACACGTCATCAAAACGACAAGTAAGAGTAAATGTGCACTTATAGGCAAGAGTGTCTGCAGGGCTGTGAAATGAAAACAAGCTGCAGAACAAGGGGGATGGTATGGGTACATGGGAAAAAGAAAATCTCACAGAAGGAAAAATGAGCAGAATGAAAAATAATGTTTAAGGCAGTGTGACTTTTTAAAAATGAAAAGATGGTATAATGAAAATTGATTATTTAAAACTTGGGAAAAGCAGACATAAAATTGTTCTCATCAATTACTTCTTGGGGGTGGTTCATAAGGCTTTTCAACTTTTACCTTATACCTCTGAATGTTTTTTAAAACAAAGTCATTAATATTCATAATGGGCCCCTCTGGGTCAAGCCATGCTCAGTTTCTGTTTTCTGGGCTATGCTCTCACCAGACAACAATAAGGACCCCCCCAGAGGAGGCTTTTATGCAGAGGCAATGTAATAAATACAGGAGGCAAGAAGTACAAGAGACCTAGGAGATGGGGAGGAGACTGAAGGAAAGGAGGCTGGCCCTCCAAGGGTAGCTTCCAAGACTCTGAAGCCAAGCTGCTGCCTCCACAGCCTCACCTAGCTCCCCTTACCCCTTTATATTCCTGCAAACTCAAGAGGTCTGCTCAACCACTCCAGCTCCATCTAAATCACGGGTCTACTGGCTTCTTCCAGGAAGCCTGCAGTGGCCTGTCCTACCCCACCGGGGCCACCCCCAGACCGCTCACCGATGAGCATGCGGTATTTGTGTGGGTGCCGAGCATCCTCAATCACAGGAATAATGTTGGTCCTCTTCTTGGCCAAGTTAATGAGGTCACGGCCAGAGCGGTGGGAGAACTCAACTGCATAGACGAGACCATCCTAAAATCAATTAAAAATTAAAGAACAATCATGATGCTAGTTTTCATGTATGGAGTGCCTACTTTAGGCCCATACACTATGTGTAGCATCTCTTCCCACCCCAAAATCAAAACTCTACCACTATTGTTATCATGTCCTTTTTACACATGAATAAACTGAGGTCCAGAGACATAAAGTCACTGGCCAAGGGTTATTCATCAGGTAGCAATAGTACCCAATCCATTTGCCTGATCTGAGAGCCTAGGCTCCCAACAAAGGGTTAAAACCAGGAGGCACAGAGATGAAGTAACAAGTCAACCACTGCTTTAAGCTCCTTATGGAAATTAACTCATATAATTTTCACAAGTCTATGTTCCAGAGAGGTAAACTGAGGCTTGGATGGGTTAGGTAACTTTCCTGATTAAAGCCTGAGGGTTTTTTTTTTTTTTTTTGAGACAGAGTCTTGCTCTGTCACCTAGCCTGGAGTGCAGTGGCGCAATATTGGCTTACTGCAACCTTGCCTCCCAAGTTCAATCAATTCTCCTGTCTCAGCCTCTCGAGTAGCTGGGATTACAGGCACACGCCACCATGCCCAGCTAATTTTTATATTTTCAGCAGAGACGGGGTTTTACTCTATTGGTCAGGCTGGTCTCGAACTCCTGACCTCAAGTGATCTACCTGCCTCAGCCTCCCGAAGTGTTGGGGTTACAGGCATGAGCCACCTCGCCTGGCCAAAGCCCAGGGTTTTAAGGCACTACACTCAACAGCTTATAAACATGTAACAAAGGGTACCAGAGTGTGACATGCAGGTGCCGGGGGCCCTTTAAATGGGAAGCCTATTATACAACCACACAGAAATGCAGGCTCAGAAACCATGAGATCTCCTGGTTCTTTCTAAAGAAACCAAAAGAGCAGGTTTTAGGGGCATCACATTTTAAAGAGGGCCATCAAATCAAATAGTCTGGTATCTATACTTCCAGCTGTCTCTCTAAGGTTGGCTACCCCACACCCACATCTCTTGCCTTGAGGCCAAGAACCCAGGAGCAAGGTTGAATGACACTATCGGGTTCAAGCTGCTCCTTTTACTCGAAGGCGCTGTGAGAGAAAAGGGCCTTGCCCTAAGTCACACAGTACGGGCAAACAGTCAAACCTTGATATTCTAGGTTGGCAGAGGGGAGGCAGCCTTTGCCTCCTGCCCGACTCTCTATCCACCCACTCACCGGACCGACGATGTCAGAGACATGGGAGACAGTGGTGCCCGAGGCAGCCCCGAGGTAGAGCACCTTGGCCCCCGGTTTGATGTGGATTTGGTCCACACCACCCAGGATTGCTGCTGCCAGCTTGGAGCGGAAGGGGTTC